GGTGGTGTCCTAGGAAGTGACTCTGGATTTTCTTCTGTTCCATTTCACCATATCTTCTTGAAACTACAGGGAACTAAATTTGAAGACAACATACTAGTAAGTTTTCCAGTTGATCTGTGGGGACCTTACATACCAACTGCCCAAATTTCATGGAGGACAGGATGAAATCTGATTTTCTAAAAAATTCAACCTTACTCCCAGGAAATTGGATTTTTCCTCTTATTTTTCTTCTCCACACAAACTGCATGATAACATATAATTCTAAGACAATGAGTGAATTTACATTAGAGCACATAGTTCATACCAGGAGTACACTTCTGAAACAGACTTCCTGACCATTCCCACTTGCTACTCTTTGGTTTCCATTGCAGAGCAGTCTGTGGGTGTCCAATCACCCTCAGCACCAGCTCTACTCATCTGCTTCTACTGGGCCTTTCTTTAGGTCTGATATATTAGTCTGGTATCTCTTGAGGACTAATATATTAATTTGAGGCACTGCTCTGTGAAAGGAGGTCAGCACCCTTCAGGCAGAGGACCCAAATTCCGTATAATTCCAGGCAACACTGCTGCTTACTTGCCCAGGACCAAAATTTCTCCCCCAGTTTCTGGGTTGGCTCCAAGCAGTTTATCTTCCTATCAATTGGGATGTAAATTCAGTGAAACGAGACCACAGTGAAAGCATTTTAGGTAATTTTAATTCATTAATTACTGAATTAAAAGTCACAATATTTGAAAAAACAAAATACCAAAAAAAAAGTCTGAATAAACACCCACAGAAACAGCAGCAGAATAACGTGTGGTCTTAAAATATATTCAAGACCTTTGTTTCACACCTACAATCCATGTATTAGGTCCAAATAATATATTCTCCAATTTGTCCATTAGTTCCAGAAAACTACACCATTCCTCCCCCTGTTTCCTCTGCCAATTATTCCACAGTGCCACTCCATTATTTTCACAGAAAAAAACCACATTAATTTGCCCCAACATAGCAAAGAAAGTTACCCATAAGTATTAGAGTCCAAAGGAAAGTAAAAAAGCCCTGCATGGTGATAATCAGAAAAGGATATGGTAGTTGGAAAAATATATCCAGGCATATTGGATATATTTTTCTTGAACTTTGTAACTTTCTTGAACACAAGTGCTCCCCTAGTCCTGTGGGATAGTCACCTGCCTTTATCCTGCCTCCATGGTCTAAAATCACAACACATTTATACTTAGCAGTATACTGCTCCATCTTTAATGTTCAGCCTAAATGTCTTGGAAACCAAATCCATGTGATAATACTGAGTAATATCCGTATGTTCTATTTTTGGCTAAAAAGGCATCAGACATAGGCATCATAAGTTGCCATGCTGTCCATGTGACAGCCATGCTATTGCAAACCACATGCAATATTGCCAGGAAAAATATATAGTGCAGCGACAAAAGTCACGTGCACATGGACAGAAATGCAGAATTGCACAGCACTTCGCTGTTGGAAAGGGCAGGGCATTTTCAGGCTTGTTGCCACTCTGACACTCACAGACCAGCTCTGCTCCATCTCACAGCAGAGAGAGATCCAGACATCAGCACAGTGCCCTGTTGGGGCAGTACTGGCACCAGGCACCTCCATTGCAGAACAGGTACCAAAAAATATCTCCATCCCTCTGTTCTCACGCTGCCTTCTTGCTCCAAACCCAACTCTGAGCTTTGGACTGGAACAGCACAAAATATATGCTCAGCCACACATTCTCTTTTGCCACCTCAGCTACACAGGAGAAAACTTTTGGCAGATAAATAGAGAAAGCAATTGAGCAAGCGCTATCTTGATTGTCATGGGGAAAAGGTTAGAGGAACTCAAATCTTGTAACAGACACTTGCCAGAACACCAATTTTTAAAAGCCTGCAGCCTCTAAGCTATGGTATCATCCAGCTTCTACCTTAGGGATGCATCAGTATTAGCATTTACTGCATTGCAGGGTTCATTTTAGGTTTCAATTTGCTTTGCACCTGTACTTGGATTCTTGTAATGTCGCTCAAGCTCTGCTGCAGCCAAAGCACTGTCCTTCCTGGTTAACTTAGGCTGAAGTCACGCATTACAGCAGCATCCATCTCACCCCACCTGTGATGGTGGCACAAGGCCCTCCTGTGGTTAACACTCTACACATCCGTGGTGCACGTCTAGGCCCAGCAACTGGTGAAAACACTTGGTGCTGGAACCTAACCAGGTCACTGCAAATCAAACCCTGATTCCTTCCTCTTTGTGGCACATCAGTCAGTAATACACAGCCTAAGTTTCCACAGGTAACTCACCTCAGAGTCCTGCTGTCATATTGCTCAAGCTGAACAGGCTTTCTGGCCTTTTACCTCTGCCCAAAACAATTTTAAAATGCCATTAATTAACATATATTTACACAGGACTGGGACTTGCACGCAACCTCAAACTTTCACCTAAGAAAACATCTAAGTCAGAAAATGGTCATCAAGGACTCTACACACCAGTATTAAGGAATTCAGTAAGGAAAAGACAGCGTTCAAATGTCTATAACCACAGTTACAGATGGGGCAGTACTGCTAACTTTAAGAACTTGACATCAGGCCGTAGCACTAACTCTCTTTATACACTACAACAGCTAAATAGGAAAAAAACCCAGGCATTTACAGCCAGTGTAAAGAACAGGCAGATAGAACAAGGCAGAAAACTCCATGCTGTGCTTGCACTGTTGCATTCCTGACCCCCCCACTGCAAACACAGTGATTTGACCAATTCGGAGGGAGAGTGAAAAAGCTAATATACGAGATCCCATGAAAATATATGCATGTAACTGCCCAGCAAACACTCCTGTCTTGTCTATTAGATTTTGTGTGTTGTGGCCTCCCTGTATGTTTATGGACACAAATAGTAGGTTTGGCTGCCACGCACACACACGTGCAGGCACACACACTCCCGCTCGCTCCTTTTGTGCAGTCCTGGCTATATTTATAAGTATATATTCCAAATCAGCTCAACGTAAATGAACTCCTATAGTGTGTATGTGTTCAATGAGGCAGATATACCAGCCTTAAATGCCTGCATTTATATTTATACCTCTGTGATATGAATTATACATATGCATATTAGTAAGCTCTCTGTCTTTCTCTTCTATTAAGGTTTGGGCTGGTCCCTTGGGAACTCATTATCTACAGTGAGTTTCACAAGGGCTTGATGTGACTCTACCAGAATTGTTATTGTATTGTACCTTCCCAGAAAGATTGCAATACTTTTCCCAGACACCTACAGTTCAATTCACTGTTGACTATTTAATCGTCTAATAGCAGTGAGCATTTTTCCCACCAAACCAAAAGAGTGAAATTGAATTATCAGGAATATTACTTTTTTTTTTTTTTTCAGAGACAGACAGAGCCATTAAACTAGCACTTGGACGGGTACTGCTGGAACAATTTCAGCGTTGTTCTTTCCCCCAGCAATCTGCTTGAACTTAGTTTTCTGCTTTCAAAGTAGGTTTTGGTTTTGCTCTTTTTTTGCCTTTTTTTTTTTAACTGCCTCAGGATGGCAACTTCACCCGATGTTGGCACCAACATGGGAGCTGAAAAGCAGCTCGTTTGGCACCAGACACCCTGATTAGTGGCTGAGAGGTGGTGAGAAACCTCATGCATGTCCACCCCTGCCACCTCCCAGCCTCACCCCACCGAGGCAGCGGGGCGCAGGAGGCCACAACACCCCGCACACACCAGTAAAGCTCCAGGCTGTGCTCCAGACCAGCGCTTTGTTGTGCGGCTTTCCTCATGGCTGGGCCCTCAGCTCAGGAGCCACTGGGCATGAGAAGCTGTTGGGCGTGAGGAGACATTGGGTGAGAGGAAGAGTTGGGCATCAGGAGCCATTGGGCATGAGGAGATGTTGGGTGTAAGGAAGAGTTGGGCATGAGGAGACTTTGGGTGTGAGGAAGGGCTGGGTGTGAGGAGACAATGGGTGAGAGGAAGAGTTGGGCATGAGGAGATGTTGGGTGTGAGGAAGAGTTGGGCATGAGGAGACTTTGGGTGTGAGGAAGGGCTGGGTGTGAGGAGACAATGGGTGAGAGGAAGAGTTGGGCATGAGGAGATGTTGGGTGTGAGGAAGAGTTGGGCGTGAGGAGACTTTAGGTGAGAGGAAGAGTTTGGCATGAGGAGCCATTGGGCATGAGGCGATGTTGAGTGTGAGGAAGAGTTGGGTGTGAGGAAGCGTCTGGCATGAGGGAGCCGCATACCTGGGCCGCAGTTCCCCCACGCCGAGGAGGTGCTGGCAGGTCGGCTTTTCTCCCCCTCTCCCACGCCGCGTGGAAACCCTCCTGCCCTGGGATTTCGTGGCTTTTCGGTGAATCCATCCCTCCCGTCGTGCCCGCCGCGCCAGGCCGCTCCGCGCGAGGCGGAGGGGGGTGTTTTGAGGGGCCCGCTGAGGCGGCGCGCGGCGCGGGGCCTGCCCGCCCTCTGCCGGCCGACGCGGGAAGAGCGTGCGGCGGGAG